TATTACCCGAGTTCGCTAATATTGGGGCTTGATATAAATGTTTTTTTATGCTTCAACGACTATTGTGAATCATTAAGCTTATAATGTGTTTGATTTAACAATGCTTTATACAGGGAGAATACTGTCTTCTTTAAGAAATAAAAAAAGTTGTGAAGATCATAATGGCAGTGAGGTAAAACCTCAAGAAGAAAACCCATCACAGGCTTCCCACATAGCTCAATTTCTACCAACTTCCCGACGTATTGTCCAGTTTTCAAATGGCAAGGTATTTGTGTTTGCTTGTGTTGCCTGTTCTTTCAAAGAACACACTCGGTTCACAATTTTCTGTGGTGATTTTTTAGTTGAAAATATTCTTGCTGTTTCTTTGAGAGCTACCCTAAAACAATACCAAGATTTATATGGATTTACTTAATACAACAAAAATGACTAAAATTTATGTTACACTTAAAAGGTTCACATTGGAGGCAATTTGTCTTTTTTGTTACAGTTTGTGGAATTTTTGTTTGTGATAATTCATCGTCACTCCATCTTATTGTAGGGTCCTGGACCAAATGCACGTATTGTATACATTGACGGGGCTTTTGATCTCTTTCACGCAGGCCATGTTGAGGTACAGATAAATATTGAAATCAAAGCGCATGCCATTTTATTTATTTGTTGTCTTATTTATTTTTCTGAGTTCTTTCAGATACTTAAGAAGGCTAGGGAGCTTGGAGATTTTCTTCTAGTTGGAATCCACTCAGATGAGACCGTGAGGTATATATTTACTATTGAATATGAGTATTATCCAGTTGGTGTTAACGACAGATAAGAAACTAACAAATTTTCTGCAGTGAGCATAGAGGAAATCACTATCCAATCATGCATCTGCATGAGCGTAGCCTTAGTGTGTTAGCTTCTCGTTATGTTGATGAAGTTATTATTGGTTCACCTTGGGAAATTACAAAGGACATGGTAAGTCTCTGATTCTACATTTTCTGGATTTCGTTAAAGTAGTTTTACCATTTTTTTAAAATGTTTCGTCAAACTTCACCTCCCCACTATTCTTTTAAAAACATAAATTTTGTAAATACAATTTTGTTTTGGTAATTTGAACCGACTGGATATTTTCATTACAATGAGGTCTATTTTCTTTTGACACATCCATCGCTGCATCTGAAGAGTTGTTGCACATAATTTGAATTCATTGGATATTTTCATTATGATGATAATGTTTATTTTGGAATCAAACAGATCACCACTTTTAATATCTCACTAGTTGTGCATGGTACTGTTGCTGAGAAGTCATTAAATGTAAGTGCACCTTTAGTTTTTCAGTTCACTTGGTATACGATATCATTTTCCTATTTTCACATATTTCTGAACAAGTTTTAATATGCAGTGTGAGCTAGATCCATATGAGGTCCCCAAGAGCATGGGAATATTCCGTTTACTCGAAAGCCCAAAAGATATTACTACTGCCACTGTAGCCCAAAGGATAATGGCCAATCATGAAGCTTACGTGGTAATCTCTTCAATACGATTTTTTATTTCCATTTTTGCTTCTCAAGATTTGACTAACCTTCAAATCTTAATTGGTATAGTTAATCTGTTATTCGAGTGTATTAGGCCAATATAGAGTTTATCAAAGGTGCTGTTAATTTTATAATTCTTCACAAATGCACAGTTTCACCTCTCAAAGTAAAACTTCATTAAAAAACTATTTCACATTCCTGAATTGTACTCCAGTTGGTGGGGTCTGACGTGAAAAAGCCAAGAATCATGCACATACCACTGAAGCATTTGAAACTGAAAAATGAGTGTGTTGAGATCAAATTGTAGTGGGTTTTGCATCAACAGGCTCATGATTTTATCAGTTCCTATTTTTGGACTAAAGAAGTTCACCCCTTTTGCTTTTGCTTTCAAAATTACGATAGATGTTTGATCCTTTAAGATGACATTGTTATGTGGTTTGATTTCTTGTTTAATGCAGAAACGCAATGCTAAGAAAACTAGGAGTGAGCAAAGATACTATGAAGAGAAAAAATTTGTCTCCGGAGACTAGAGTGTACAGAAATGATGTTGGACATTAATTTGGTACTGCTCTTTAAGCTTGGCCCTGTCACAAAAATGCTACATACAGCATGAATCCATACACAGTTTGTGAAGGAGAAATAGTGCAGGGTTTGTAGGCCATAACTCAGGAATAGCGATGTACTTTAATGCCCTGCCGTTTTGTTTTGAATTTTTTTCCATCTGAAAGGCATCCATGTGGTTTGTTCACAAGTTTTATGCCATTTGGTTTTTCTGTGGTTGGTGTTTAGTGTACCCCAATTGGAGGATTCCTTACTCTGATAGTATATTGTCACTGTCAGAGGTTATACGTATCACTGTCTTTCCTTTATTTATTTCTACTCTGCAGAATCATTTGATTTGGTTGTGGAAAAACCTATTCCGTTATGACAGCCAATAAAAGAAAATGATAGCAGCTTCTTTTTTTTTACATCTGCACCGTTCTTAGGGGAATACCTGTTCATATTGGTTTAAGGTTACAATAATTAAGGGGACTGATAAATTCTCCTAAAGTTTAGAGAAATATTTGAGTGAGTATTTTCTTATTGTAAAATGGCAATAGTTTTTGTTTACTAAAATGGCATTTATTATATAATGGAATAAGTATTGGTCGATTTTATTTTATGAATTATATAAGCAATTCAAATTGTGGTGGTTGTTATTAATTTAAGGAAGACTATTAAAATAGTTTTTTGTGTGGAAACTACAATAGGTTATATAAACCCTTAACAATTAATATAATTAATTAAGTCAATTTAGTCTTTGAAGTTGCTATTTATTGTGAGTTTGATCCATAATTTAATAGTCACCAGTTAACTAGATATTTGGCATAAAAAAACTAAATTGAGTAACTAGAACAGAAATTCTAGTTCAAAATCTATTTTTACACAGTTAAAGTTAGTTCATACGTCTAAATTATGAAAAAAAATTGAATATAAAAATTAACTTTAAACTGAAATTATGGTTCAAAATCGTATTTTTACACAGTTCATAGCTCTAAATTATGCACAAAGAAAAAATTGATACAAAAAATTAACTTAAATAGGAACAAAATAAAGTAGTGATGAAACTAATGGAGTGGCTTAATTAATGCACTTAGATTAGATTAGAAAAGGAAGACCTTACCATAAAAAAATAAGAAATAAAAGAAATATAATTTCCTTATTCATGCAATGTATATTTGTACACAAATAACCAATCTAATTCCCTCTAATAACACAATTAGTTACTAATGATAGGTGACAACGAAGAGTGACAGTAGCGACATCTGTATTAATTTTTTTTAGTACTAAAAGATTTCAGTGGAAGGAATATACATAAAAGAAGTTAACAAATATATATATATATATATATATATATATATATATGAACTCATTAACCAGCTTTTCAGGGATATTTCTAATTAAAATTCTCCAGAAAGAATAATAATGATAACCATATTGTCAATAATAACGACAGCGGTGGCCAAATGATAATAAAAAGAGAATAACAGTGATAAAAACAATAACAATCACAACTAATTCTAATGGTAGTAAACACATTAAAGATTTCGATAGATATAATAAGATAAAAAAAATATTAGGATAATTAGTCTTTATATAATCTATCAATAAAGATCTCTCTATATATATAATAAAATAATAATTCAATAAAACAAAGAAAAGATTATTTGATATTGGTGAATGACACAATAATAAAAAAGATCGAACAGTAATAAGTTATAATGCTGATAATAATAACCATGATAATGATACTACAATAAACTTGCAATAATAATAATAAACTGCAACAGTGGTTTTCTCTCCCGCTTTTATTTTGTGTGTAATACTTACAATTTACATTTAACTTTCAATTATTATTATTATACTTATATACCCATAATAATTATATTTCTTTTATATATATATATATATATATATATATATATATATTATTTTGCTATTTATTTATAAATAGTACAAATCAATAAAACACAAAAAGCAATTTTTTACACAGTTCACAACCACAACACTTCTTAAAAAAAAATTCAAAATGAAAACAAAAATAAACTTACTTCAGAGAGAAAGAAAGATGCATTTGTGTTTGATATGATTGAACCAATAAATAACACGTGATTGAGCTAATAAATGACACATGTTTCTATTTTTTAAATTAACATACTCCTCCCACACACTCATCTTACCCTTATGAATGTCTTCTCTCTGGTCATTAAAAAGCCTCAATAACTTACCTTTCTTACTTTTTCTTTTTCTCCCATTTTTCTCAGCTCATCTTTTCCTTATAATTTTTCTTTCGGTTTCTCATCAAATGAATAACAATTTTATTCATTTGTTAAAATTTAACTTGAATATTTTTGTGATTTTTTTCGACTTACAGTATTTTTTAAAAATTTGTCTGTTCTTAATAATATAATAATATATTTTAATAAATAATAAAATTTAATAATAATGTAATAACATAATATTATTATAATAATAATGATGATAAAATTAAAAATATTATAGAAAAGAAACAAATTTTTAAATACTCACATCATTAATAAATTAAAAGTAAACTAAATAATAAAATATTGAAAATACTATTTTATTTAAAATTACAAATTACAATATACTTATGCAAAAGTTAATATCTTAGAGCCAGTGTAGTAAATTGTCAAATGAAAAGTTAAAATATTACAAATTTAGGAGATTAAAATAATTGAAATAGTCATTTTTAATCACATTCTAGTTTCAGAAATTTAAATCTTAAAATTACAGCTTCAGTTATTTAAAATCTCAACGGTCAATATGTCTGGATATAAAAAGATACTCAGTTTTTTTTTTCAAACCCTACATTACACAACTTGTTTATTGGAAGTCATAGTCATTTCATCATCGATCTAGTGGTTTACAGTTTACACACTTATGATCATCACTTATGATCATCCCTTAGTCAGTAATACGAATTTTGAAAAATGAAAAGCAATTCATAGATGGCGACAAAAAACATTATACACATTCATTTTCCTTTGTTGGTGACACTTCCATAGCCAGTTGCACAAGATGCGAGAGATTCCCATAGCGCAAAAGAAAACTATAACTAACGGGTTCAGGCTAGTCTACAAACCCTTGTCCTAAATACGGGAAAAAGTTGCTTAATAAGTGGCAGAGGTAACAAACAAATCTCAGCGGGTCCAAGAGATGGGTGTTGAGGTGTGGTGAGGAAGCTGAGGCAACAAGCAGTGTTGCTGGAATCCCTCTGTTATTCCAGAGTGTGCTGTTGGGAAGTGAATGCTCGGTGTGCAAGTTTTAGGGTCACTATCAATGTCACCTTCTTGTTCAATATCCATCATCATAGAACCACCACCTTCTTCCATTTCATCAGCTTCCATCAACTCAGTGTTTGAGTCGTCAATATCATGAACATCAAAGAACTGGTAAGAAGTAGGTACCCAAGGCACGAGAGCCAATTCATCATTACTCTTCTCACGTGATTGTAACCCTGTCACAATGTCATCACCCTGTTTGGACAACATGAATTGATCTGCAAAAATAAATTTATCAATTAGAATGATGCTATCTCAATTAAGAACACTATAAAATAAGATGAAAAAAATAAATTAAGAAAATCGTGTTTTAGGTTTGACATCCTTAATTTCCGGTAGACGTGAGTTTTAGTCTTTACATTTTAAAAACGTTACTATTCTAGATATTCATGTGCCTCCCACATAAGAAATTAGGTCAGGATCTTCCATGCACTTAATTCTAGCTGACGATGCAGTTAAATCAAATTTTCATTCAATTCCTATTAAACGACAACAGCAAGAAAGAAAACTGAATTCGATAACTTCCGGCTAAAAGGATTTACGTATTAGTCATAATGGATGAACTTCGTCTCTTATTCTAGCATCCTAAGTATCATAAAGAGGACGAAAATCATCTATTATAATATTGCGAACACTAAAACCATTATTATTAAATATAGGAGTTTAGAGGAGTTTTAATTGAGAGCTGAAAAACCTAAAACACATTTTATCGAATTAAATCAACGGAAGAAAACACTTACTGTTCGTAATTTCATTGATAAGGTTAGAATCGACGGTGAATGAGAAAGAGGAAGGGGAATGAGCAAGAGGTTTGAAAAGGACGAGAGCTCTCTCATCGTTAGGTGACGGTGACGGGGACGGCGACGGTAACGGTTCCTCTTCTTCCACAATTGGCGGCAACTCGGCATCCTGAGACGGTGCAAACGAAATCGATTAGTAAAAAAAAAAAGATAGGTTAGTTGCAGATAGTGAAGAATTGAAAGCGGAAGCACTTACGAGACGGCGAATCTTGGTAGCGGGAGAAGAGAGAGGGAAATCGTCGTTAACTTCATCAACACATCCTTTCCTCTTCAAAAATCTGTATAGCGCCATGGAGATGTGAAGCTAAGGAATCGAATCGAATCAACGAGTGGAATGAGCGACGAAAGATGATCGCGTGAGGTAGTGGAGATTTTGGGTATGCTGTGTTATGGTTGGCGAAGAACGGAGGGAGTAGTATTTATCGAGTGGGGTCTAGATTTTTCTGGAATTCTTCAGTGTTTACCTTTACATTCCCAAACCCTCCAAACCTGACACCACTTCTCAACCCACGTGTCACAATCCTTCTTAATTTTATATCCTTTTCTTTTCTCGTGTTAGATAAAGGATAAATAACAATTGAATTAATGATTATTTCAAATAAAATATTTTTTTAAATTTAAATTATTAAATATTTAAAGAATAAAAAACAAATTTTGAAAATATACTAATTATCTTGTTTCTTAAACAACTCATCACCGTCTTAACTGTATAATTATTACTTTATTGATGAGTGAGAATCTTTTAAAAATAATATGATAACTAAATTATTTTAGTACGTGGTAATTATTTTTAAAAGATATTTCTAGTACAATTCTAGATATTTGATAAATAAACGAGATTTTAATTTATTTTTTAAAATGTTTTATTTTAAGTCTTTCATTAAAATTTAACAACTGAATCAGTGTTCTAATATATTTATTCTTGCTGTCACGTTATATACCCTTATAAAAGTTTTTCATTTTACTTTGATCTCGATTGTCTATTTATAAAATATATCAGTGATTTAACGAATTAATTTAAAAGGAGTACTTTTTTTTTGAAAAAATAACAATTGTATTTATCTATTTTTTTTTAAAAATACATATTATTTAAGTTTCTTGAACAGAATATCACGTATTTTTTCTTATTGAATCTTCCATCGTACATATTAGATTGATAAGAGACGTTAACAAAATGTTTACATTGGTTGAAGAGGAAAAAAAAAGATGATAACATTATTTTTGCTGAATTTAAAAAGGATAATAACTAATATGGGTGGTGTCATTTTGGCATAGAACTTGAATAACCTCATGATACGATACGACTTTGTTAGTAAAAGAAATGTCAGTAAATGTGTTTTTCTAAAATTTTACTATAATCGATTAAAAGAATTAAATAAATTATAAATTTAAGTGTAGTCCACATTCATGATTTTACAACTTTAAACAAATTTTGGTAAAGAAAAAAATATAGCAAAATATGCTTGATAACACTTCTCCAATTTAAATGGCCATCATCAAAACAGACACCACTTCCTTTTCTAGTATGCATTAGGTAATTCCATGCTATTGATAATTATCAAATAACACATTCATGACTAGTGAATTTTTTTCTAGTTGCTGTATCTAATGTCTTGAATCACTTTAATATGCTTTCAACCTTTTCAAACTTCAAATTTCTTGGACAACTCACCATTGTCAATAAAAAAAATTCAAATAGACTGAACTCCTTAGGTAAAATACCTTATCATTGAATTTCTTTTTTCATAATTTTTAATACTGTCCATATTTTTATTTTGTACTTTTCCATGCTACAAGTCTGAATATAAAAAAAACACGATGTCTTGCATACAATGTTGAACCCATTAAATTTATTATTTTATCAACATAAAACAAAACAGTAATATAAGAACCATGATATTTTTGTTTAGTGTCAAATTTATCTGTAATATCTGAATATATCATCCATCTTTTATATTAATTGTGTTGGTGAACAGTCTTCTTTTAGCATATACAATGGCAAAACGGATACGAATATATTGTACGTAGATAATTATCTACAAATATTTATTACTTGTGAATAATAAATAGTCTGGTATTAAACTATCCGTCTTATGATATTCACTATCCAAAAAAATAATAAAAAATATTAATTTTTATTTTTTAAAATTAAATTTAATTAAAAATAAAATTAATTTATATTTTATTAAGTTAAATTTAATTAAAATTAATTATTTTATATTATATTATATATATTTTATAATTTTATTTTAAAAATGTATAAAATTTTTTTTTTCTATTATTCGTCGAATTTAAAATATACGCAAATATTTTTTAAATAAGTACTCGTAAGTAACGAACGGATTGCAGATCAGACGTGTACGATTGACAAAGTCATAAAGCTGTATAGGAATTTTAAAATGACAGTCAAATAAAAGCATTTTTTTTCTTTTAAAACGTGGGAGCAAATGAGAAAGGGGAAAAGAGTTGATTTCAGAGGAACAAAATGGAGCATGGGTGAAATAATCTCTTGATAACATTATCCCAGCCTTCTCATAAAAGTGACAATTGTCAATCGTTACCCTGTGTTGATATGGCTTTGCCTGCCTGAAATTTAGAAATAATATGCAACTCATGCTTCAGAAGTTACATATTAGAAGAGTTAATGGAGATCTTGGGCACATATATTGCGTGTATTCGTATTAGAGATTAAAAGGGCTACTAACAAAAAAGAAGGGGCCAATGACATGCCTTTTACATTTTGGGCACTTGGTAGCCAGAAGGTAGAGTGGACATAGATGCCATAGCTGGCTTACCTGAAGGTGCTCAGGTTCACACCTTCAAGTGCTCCTTTGTTTGCTCACTCCACACACAAAATACGAAGTCACTGGATGAAAGGCTTTATAAAAGCGTGGAACAAGCTCGCTAAAATATATTGCACCAATACAACTTATCCACTTTTCCATCATCGTCTAATTACATGACTAACAGCTTTTTCTTCTCCTTATTGTTTCCTTTCCTATGTAAACTGAAGAAAATTTTCGATGCATTTTTTATTCTTTATTTACCGACCAAAAGATTTCCTTAATGGTTATACTAGGAAGAGAAATATATAAAAAAACTAATAATAACAAGAAAACAGGATTCTCCAAGCTACGCATTTTGATCTGGAGAGCGCAAGAGAATCACGGACGAATAACTAAGCATGGGATACATATTGGCGTCCAGAAACTGAGCATACTGTTGTATAGCAATTTCTCTTCCAGGAAGGTCAGGGGTGAGGAAATCATATGGCGCAGCCTTGCTGGTATCTACAAGAGGTTCCCATCTGTATCCAGGACGATCTGGCAATGTAATTGTGAAAGGTAAATGACTCGTATTGAAAGCAACGTAAATTTCTCCCTTCACTGAGTCTACCTGTATTCAAGTTCATGCCAAATAAGGGTATTAGTCATTTATGGAGTATCCAATAATACGTATAGGATTTAACATTCTATCTAAGACAATTACTAGTAAATGAAAAAACAGATCAAAAAGTCCATGATGCTAATCTGAGCATGACATTGACAGCTTTGAATGAGCGGGTATTGGTTTAAGTCCTGGAGCAGTTCAGCCTATAGTTTATACCATGTGCCAATATATATGTTCGATTATTTGGCACTTCAAAATAAAATTTGGGGCTAAGAGTAAATTTTTCTTCACGTGTTCAAATAGTAACCAGAGATGTAGCAAACAATCATAACAGGAGTTCAAATTCAACTCGCTACATTTGTTCTGCCAGCCAATCTTAATGTCCAGAGGAGACTGCTAACCGTAGATTCTTTGTCCTTAAGACAGAAGCACCATATTGATCATTCCTCAACCTAGCTAGGCAGGCACATACTGCCATTGCCAGATGCTGAGTTTCTCTGGTCGATTTCAACTCAGACTTAAGGTTTAGTTACTGGAAATGCGTCCAAATTCCACATTTTCAGGCCAGGTTAAAAGAAATAGATCCCAAGATTTGATTCTTGCTGTCTTTCACCGGTAACAATTCTTATAAACAGCAATATGGCCAACAAAATTATCTTACCATGGTAAAAGCCACAAAACGGCTAGTTTCGGACCAGTCTGGCATTCCAGGAAAATGACCATGCCACTGCAGCCTCGCTGATGTTGGGAAGTCATCTAAGCCCATAGATTCACATTCCCTGCAGGATTATAACATTGGAATATGATAAAAAAGCAAAAGTCCAACGACAAAACAATTAAACTGAAGAAGTACTTACTGGCGGAACTTAGTCACAAGGCAACAAAATCTGAAGAAGTCTGACGAGGATTCTTCCTTTTTGTCCCATTGGAAGTAATTAAGCTGCAAAAAGGTTGAAATCAATAGAATTGAAAATATGGTGGGGTATGCATTGAAAATTTTAAGTAGACAAGAGGATCACATAATTATCATGACAATAGGTATTGTTGTTTCCCCCTTTTGTGTGTCCATATTCATCGCCCATATATATCATTGGAACTCCCTGATAAGATAAACTGAAAGTCAGTCAGCAGAATTCGTGCTGCTAACATCTATATAAATAAAGAATAATTTGATCAATTTAAAAAGCCAACAACATTAAACTACAGTAATTTTACATTTTAACTGTTTGTCCATCTGCATTATAAAAGTCATATTACACTTAAAATCCAACTAATGACCACATTCTGCAATTATTGTCGTAGCAAACAATACTTTATTGTACCCCTTAAATGAATCTTTATATGTGCTTCCACATTACAGAGATGCACAAAGCAAAAGTTATTATTAATTGACACGCAACACAGAAATCCTTTCAGTCCAAACACATTTGAAAAGGAACTAATATTTTAATTGGGCCTTACCTGGGAAACCATGAGAGTGAGAAAAAAATTCCGCATTTGTCGCTTCCTCAATTTCTTCACCAAGGGACTCACAAACTCCCCCTCCTACATTAGTTACAAAAATGAAATTAACATTTAATACAAAGGTCATGTCATGTAACTTTCCATAAATATTCTAATACTTTAAGGTTTTACATTATGTGTTTTGCCTCTATATTGCGGATCCAAAGAAGAACCAAGAAAAACTTTCGAGAAGGATTCTAAGCAAAGTTTCGAATGATGGGAGCACACTGGACAAGTTTGTCTCAGTGTGCATGAAATCTGTGACTTCCAATAAAAGAAAGATTATATTACTCCCATGGATCCTCTTTATTCATTTTTTGTGAACAATTTTTACCTACACATTACAACTTATCTACATAAATCTAGTATGTCCATTTCCTAACTGCTAAAGTATTGGGCTTTAAATCTTGCCATGAACATTGAAATATTAATGGTATTCAGATTGCTTAAAAAATCTTGAGATGAAGTAACAGCATTCAGTGGAAGGAAAAGTAAAAGAAAATCACTTTAAATGCAACTCTGAAACAGGTTTCTAAACATTACCTGTCCACAGTTCCAGCTATTATTATGATTTTCTCC